ACATATAGCGAAAAATACTCATAAATTCGAAAAATTATATATGACCTTATTTCAAAATCAGTCTTTAAGGAACAGATTTCATTAAGGGAAATCTGTCTTTAATATTTTAGTCGTAGGAAGACGCTGAAAAAAGTTTGGATTTTTGCAGTTTTCGAAAAATCAGGGTTTTTATCGAAAATGGGACCTGCACCTTTCTTTTAAACGTCCTTGACACTATCTAACAACAAAATTTAATCAAAAGCAATGGAGCAATTTTTTGATCATTTGGAAAATGACCCAGAGGCTTCATGTAAAGTACCCCCTAGAATTAAAATATCGATTTCAATTTCAAGGGACCGTGACATCAGCCAGATTGATTTAAAAATATCAGTTTTGGAGAAAATCGGGGAAACGGTTTAGCCGCTAGTGTTAATATAATAATAATAATAATAATAATAATAATAATAATAATAATAATAATAATAATAATTAAAATAATAAAATATAATAATAAAATAATAATAATAATAATAAGCATTCTTACAGGAATATTCCAAAGCAAAGGGTTGTAAATGATATGGAAGAGTCAAAGCTTCCCTCAAAGGCACAAATAGAGGACTTTTGGAAGCCTAATCTGGTCATCTGCTGTGTCCACAACCCAGATATGACGTGGATTGAAATGGAATATGACAGCACCGAATATCCTCTAATGTGTGAACCAATCATCACCGCTGGAAATTGTCCAAGCAAGCTTTGAACAAAGCACATAACTGGAAGGCACCAGGCAGTGATGGCCTCCACAATTATGCTCCAAAAAATTTTACCAGCACTCACCATCATATAGCTAATATAATTCAAATTTTCTTCACAATCCGAAAATCTACCTCACTTCCTCACTGAAGTAGAACATTTTTGTTACCAAAGGAGGTGACACTAAAGACCCCTCAAAGTACAGGCCTATAACCTGCCTTCAAACTTTCTACAAACTCATAACATCTTGTGTTTCGCAAATGATGATGACACACATTGAGGAACAGAAATCTTAGAAATGAACAGAAAGGATGTAGACCTGGATCTCAGGGATGCAAGGAGCAACTCATTATAGACTCTGTAATTATGGGGCAAGTTGCCTTGAAAAACAAAGGAAACTTGTACGCATGCTACATAGATACGCTAAAGCATTCGACACCGGCCCCATTCTTTGCTCCTTCAATGTTTGGATGTATACAAGGTCCACCCGTTTATCCAAAACTTCCTGAAAACTGCGATGAGTCGATGGAATACAAAACTGTATCTCTCTAATGGAAAACAATCCGCCACACAGATACTATACACATCCGCCGAGGGATTTTCCAGGGGTGACTCTTTAAGCCCTTTATTTTCTGTTTAGCCTTGAATCCCCTCTCTACCTACTTAATTCATCTAATTATGGAATCGCTCTTAAAAGGGGAACTCAATCTCTTCTCGTATCTCACATCTCCTTTACATGGATGACCTGAAGCTCTATGCAGACACTGAGAGTCATATGCGGCAACTAATAAACGTGACGGAGAAGTTCACTGACGACATTTAAGATGAAATTCGGTTTGAATAAATGCAGGAGAGTGAATATCATTCGGGGTCATATGCAAGTTATAAATTTGAAATGATAATGAACCAAAGATTACCTTCATGGAACCCCATGAAACTTACAAATACTGGGTTTCCAAACAGTCACTCCGAATCAAACACACTGTTACTAGAATATACTAACAACTGAAGTGTGTAAACGATTGCATGGACTCTTAAAAAACTCACTCTCTTCTAGAAACCTTGTGCAGGCCATCAATCATTTGTTATTCCATGCTGACATACTCCTTAGCGTTATAATGGAGCAATAAAGACCTCGACAACCTCCAAGAGAACAATTCGAACCGCTATGACTTCAACACCGAAAACATCATCCCCATTCAAGTACTGAGCGTTTTACCGCTTCCAAGGTCGCAAGGAGGGCGAGGTATTGTAATCTCATAAATCTACACCAGCTCTCAAATTGCTTCACTCAGAAGATACTTCTTGGAACATTGTGGGAGAGTGCAGCAAGCAGTGAGCGCAGTTGATAATAAACTATAGTCCTCTGAACTTGAAAAAGCTTGATCCGCCTGTTCAACCAATCATTGAAACGAAGAGAAGATAACCTTATGGAAAGCAAAGGCCACTGCATCGAAGGTACCCTCACGAGCTGAGTAAACCGAAGTCACATCTCTGCGTCGCACGCATGGCTCCAGCGCGCGGATCTCTTTCCGAGACAGAAGCTTCATGATAGCTATCCAGGACCAAGTCGGTACCAACATTGAACTACAGAAAACACATTCTGAGAGATGCTACCATTCATTCCGACTCGTGTAGAAGATGTGAGGCTGCAAGCGAAACTATACAACACGTGACAAGTGGATGTAGCAGCCACGCCAGTGGAATACAAAAAGAGGCATGATGAAAGTGCGAGCAGGACACCAATTATTGGCGCTGAGAACGGCTTACTCGCCACTTCCGTGCCGTATTATAAATATGTGCTCAGAATGTGCTTGAAAGTAGTGAGCACACACCTACTGGATCGTTCCATTATCACATGACAGACATGTCGGCGCAACAGACCCGATATAACGTACATTGATAGGAAACCAACAGCACGGTTTTCTTATCGAATTATCAATACCCAATACCCACAACATTATCGGGAAAATATCAAGAGAAGATCCAGAAGTATACCGATCTCGCCTATGAAGTCGCAACTCAGTGGAACTTCAGTAAAGTGACAACTGTGCCTATAATATATCACTACGGGAGTGATCCCGAAAATGACACTTCGGGCACTGGAGTTTCTTCACTTGGATACCAGGAATGTATATAATATGCAAAGACAGTAATTTTGAATACATGCCGTATTGTCAGAAGCCATCTGAACTTCAGTAAAGAAACCACCACACCTGGTCATCATACCTGTGTGTGGTTGACATACCGACCTAGATGCTGTGAATAATGTAATAATAATAATAATAATAATAATAATAATAATAATAATAATAATAACAAATTGTATGTACTTATTTACTTATATAACTTATTTCAATTTTGCAATGGTGAGGAGAAAGAGGCAGGTTTTAGTCAGGTTGTATATTTCTACCAGTGATCGCTTGTGCCTTTAATTAAATGGAAGAGGGGACTGCATGCAAAAATAGAAAATGCATTGAAAATGCATTTTGTTCAATACCGGTGAAGGTCTACCGCGAACTTATATATCGCAGTTTTCTTGAAGAGGTAAGTTTCTAAATTTCCCAGTTTTTAAATATTGAACAGAATTTCTATTCACATCCATTCTAAACGGGCTCGTGGCTAGCTCTTGGACATCGTGCTCGCTTTCCCCTACGCGGCCCCGCGTTCGATTCCCGGTCGTGCGAAGTCTGTAAAGTCTGTAGTGTGCGGTTTCCTTGCAATGTCCCAGTATTTGTTGCTGTGTGACGATGATAAAATTCACTTCTTTAGATGAGAGAACCGGAATACGGCGTGGGAATGTCTGCGTATTAACCACACGTAAGCCCTTAGGCCGCGTGGCTGGGCGTCGCCGGTAGCCCTGAGCCCTTTCACGAGCAGTCGCGTAAGTAATACATACGTACGTTCTAAACAAGACATAGTGGCGCTAAAACAGCACGTACTTTCTCCCCTACTATCAAGCAAAATTACGCGAAAAGCACTCAAATTTTCGAAAAATTGTACAAGACCTTATTTTAAAATCTATCTTTAGGAAATATATTTCATTAAGAAAAAATGTCTATCTTCAATATTTTAGTTCTAGGAGACTCACAAAAAATTTTGAACTTTTTCAATTTTCGAAAAATCTGTCTTTTCAACGAAAATGAGACCAGCACTATTCTCTTAAACGCTAACAACGAAATTTAACAAAAAACGATTGAGCCATTTTAAAAAATTGAAAATGTTCCAGAAAGTTCATGTGAAGTACCCTCAAAAATTAAAATATCGTTTTCAAATTCAAGGGGCCGCGACATCAGCCAGATCGATTGGGGAATATGAATTTTGGTGGAAATCGGGGGAACGGTTTAGTTGATAGCGTTCACAGACGGACGGACAGATAAGATTTGCCTTCCTTCTATTTTTCGGTATCAAGGACCCACAAAACATGGATTCTTGCTACACTAAAAGTTAGGGGATTTTTGTTTCTAAATTTAGCAACTGGATTTATCCACTCTTTCGTTATCAGGGCCCTGTAATAAGAATTTGTCTGCCGAAAATTTGCTGTTATTTCGCCTACTAATGAAAACAAATGAGCGCGAACTAGTCATCACGTTGTAGCAGTGACACTGGCAACGACCACCGCACACGAGATTTTTCACGACACGAGTGTTTTCGATTTTCAACGTAGTCAACAGTCGACTTTTTTAAAACTCGGATTTCCGCGACTTAACTGTATTAAAGTAGTGTGTAGCCGTTACAAATAATGCGAGAATGTATCTGTTGTTGTAGCACCATTAGTTTTTTTAATGAAATTTATTCTTAAAAATTAAATTCTTAAGCAATGCCATTTTTTAAAATTTGAGTAATATTCACGTAATTTTGAGTGAAGTGTGACAGCTTTTAAAAATTACGTTGACGATATTTTCTAAATGCTTTTTACTCAAAATCGTCCAGTTTTCATTTAAACTAGTACTGAATTTTCGAAAATTGAACGTGTTAAACTTTCTTTGCAATTCGTTGGGAACGTTATTATACTAACTCATCCTGTTGGAGAAGTAGTGGCTAAGTGAATGTAAAGCCTAAGTACCCGAGTTAGAATCCTAGCGTGAGTATACATTTTTGCCGTTTGGAAAACATTTTGAGAGTTCTAGAAATATTATAATATTACGTAACCGTTATAAATAATGTGAGAAAGTATGTAATGATGTAGCAAACCTAGCTTAATTGTTCTCTGCCTTTCAATAAATAAATAAATAAATGAATATAAATAAAGCATTTATTGGGAAAGAGAGAAAAAAGCGAGTTAAGTAGTGCCGCCTTGACTTTGCGTTGGCAAAATTACAAGAGGATCTATTTGTGTACCAGTTAGTCAGTGAAAACCTTTTCGGTGCCAAGCAATAGAACGGAATTCGCAGGAAGGTGATTAACACACAATTTCTCCACAATTTTCCTGATGATTTGCTTTCTTGTTAAAAATCGTAAGTGTTACTTCCCCAGCGTTGCATGCCAAATTTTATACTATAATTCTTTATCTCGTTATTTCAAGATACTTTTGAAGTACATCTAGGTCAAAATTAGTTGAGTTTCAGTTCTTGGGTTTTCATATCATAGTGAATTGTACATTACGAAATTGCTAAGAATTTGCCCTGAAATTAAAATGTTAATTTGAACTGTTACAGCTTCGTATTCTTGAGAATAAAAATATTATGATAGTAAATGACAGATTCCTCAGTAAAATTTCTTTAATCATAAAAATAGTTATAATATTTTTACTGTATATATGCCCCTTTACAGTATAAAAATCATTGGAGTAAACAGAAAATATTTTGAAGTGAATTCCCGTTTTCCAAGTGACAAAACAAACAGTAAGTCTTTTGCAAATTATTCCATGAGTTCTTGTTTACCACATATATTAACACATTCCTTTATTTTTTTTTATAGGACATGCCTCTTTATATGCCTGTACCATTGCTTCTGGCTACATCAATGCATGCTGCTGCTGGCCTTGTTATAAATGCTTTGACATTGACAAATACCCAAAGGGAGATCCTCAAAGATGACAAAGTCAAACTTATATTTCAAAATTACTTATCCAATTTACCTGTGTCTCTGAAGGAAAAACTTCTATATTACATTTTGGATTTAGATGAACTTGAAGCTTCAGTCAGATACAGAGCATTATTATTAATTTTATGCCCACAAATGAAATCTCTTTGTCCTGGAATTTTTCCTCAGACATACTTCACTCGAGTTGCCCATGTAATATGTTGTCAGGGAACAACACTAGAGTCGCTTGATTTGCGAGGTGTGTGGTTGAAAGGTGATTTATTGGGGGAATTGCAGAATATTCTTCAGAGCCTCAAAAACTTACGAGATTTGCATATACCTCACATGGCAACTGATGCAATATTGAACACAATAGGTCAATACAATACATCATTACAAATTTTGGATATTATGGGTGAATGTAATGTAACAGAAGCTGGGATTGAATCATTGTGCAATAGTGGAAACTCAGTTATCACCCATAATTTACAATTTGTGCTTTTAGGTAATCCTGGAGGGGATGAGGTATCTCCAAGTACTGTGTCACTGCTTATTAAATATTTACCAAAATTACAGTCTTTGGGATCTTACCCCAAAGTAGGAGAAGCAATTGAGTATTTGATCCAAGAAAACAGTGATATCACTACTAATTTAATTCATTTACATGATTCTTATACAGATTTAAACAGAATTTGCATTCTAATTAAAACAACACCAATGTTAGATTCAATATTTATTGATCATCCTTCTGATGGTGTGATTTCTCATTTATGTGAATTTTCTCACTTGACTAAAGTTAAGTTTCAGAGATTTCAGCTCAATGAGTTTTTCAGATTCATTGATAAAGTTGGAAGAAAACTCTTAACAATGGAGTTAATGTTTGGATCAGGAATTTTAGACTTTGCTTCATTGAGTAAGCAATGTCCAAACTTAGTGAAATTTACTTGCTATAAAATGGATTGCATTAGACACTTTGATAAAGTTGAATTTCCTTATTTAAAAAATTTTGGTGTTTACTATTCTGATATCAGTCCATCATGTGTTAAAAGTGTAATGCTAGCTTCACCAAATATGGAGAAATTAAGCCTTGGAGATTTTCTTGAAATTACTGATGATGACATCATTGAAATTTTTACAACAAAAGAATTCACAAAACTGAAACATATTTGGTTTGCAAATGCCGTTTATTTGACATCTGTGAGTGTCCAAATTTTAATTGAATGTTGTCCAAATTTAGTAAGTTTAGGAGAACTTAGTGGTTGGAATATGACACAAACAGAAACAATTATTTTCAAGGAAGCAATTGAAACAGAAAATCTTGCTCTTAAAATTATTGATTATTTCAATGACTAAATCAGTAAAAAATTCACAATAATTTGAAGTGCTTTTGCCAATAGGAAAAAGACATTTTTAAAAAAATTATATACTGTATAGGCTATTTAGGCATTCCAATTTATGATTGTAAAGTCACAGAAAAAAAATTTCAATTCTTATAGAACGATAAAGACTTTTACTTAATTGAATTGGTTTGTGACATATTGTATCAATATCGTTGCAACTATGAGCCAGAATCATTATTATGGTCAAGAACATGTTAAAACATAAATAGAATTAACCTAGACATAATGGATATTAAGATAAATATAGGTGTAAGTTCCAGAAATGGTTTTCCTCGAGGTTGACTGTTGGTTATATCACTGCATATACCTGCAGTAAAGAATGTATGCAACAGTTCTTTTATGGCATTTTGTGGTGAAACACATGATGATGTTTGTGATGATGCTCTTGTACTGCAAGATGCCAAGTTAATTGTTAGATGGCTGAAACAAGAGATGAAAAAATATAATTCTTGTAGTTATTGAAAATGTAACTTGTGAAAAGTTTTTATTTATTCAAATCAAAAGTGATGGTACATGTTTTTGTAGCTTAATCATGAGATTATTGCTTGAATCCTTTGACTAAAATATGTTTCACCACCACATGTTATGTTACTATTATTAATACATTTTTAGCCAAGTACATCTTATAATAAAAATCTATAGTCAATTAATTATATGCGGAAAATGTTTTGTTTACCTAGCAATAAAATATGAGAACAAGTACAATGATTAATACATAACAGAGTCAGTATAATTATTTCATAGGAATTAAGGATAAACAATACTTACTAGCAATTATTTAAGTCTCTGTCAACTTTCAAGAAATCTACTATGTGAAGAATATTTTTTTCTTCTTCTAGACATTTTATGAATAATCCACTATTCCAGCAATGGGAAGACTCTAACAAAACTGTTGAAAAAAATTAAATATGTATTTATTCCCAAAGCACAGGCAATTTTGTATTAATAAAAGAGAAAAGTACATACATAAATTTTGATGTTATATATTATTAGAAAAAATCTCTCTCTCTTTATTTTATTTTTTAATTAGTTTTTAATACATATTGTGATTTAAAGTTTGCTCACTAACTTATAGAAAGAAAGGTGTCAGATTAAGAATTGTTGGTCCAATAATAAAGAACTTCAGGACTCAAATGCTTCAAAACTGAGATCATAATGGAAATAGAATTCACTGATTGTCTTTCTTTCATAATTATTTTCTAGATTGAATGTCTATTAAAGTTTTCTAATGTAAACAAACTTTCTTCCTCTGGCACTTTTCTTCTCAAACCTATTCTCTGGAAGATGAGAATCTCAGTTAATTAGCCTTCATTATTGGAATAATCAAAAGAAATAATGTCTAATGATTGTAAAAGTGACTTGTCATTAAGTATTGTAATGATATATAAAATATTGAAAACTTTTTCTTAAACCTGACTGTGAATATTTTACATTTAGTAACATTCTGTATTCTTGATTAGCAAAAGTTCCTAAATTATTACAAAAATAATTATACACTAAAGAATATTTTTAGAATTTTAAAATTCTCATTAATTAACCATTTAGTTTATTAGATAAGAATGTTCCAATCAAAGTTAATATAAAGTACAGTTCTTATCATTTCACTAATCTGATACCTCTTAAAAGAAACTGATCAAAATTCAAAAATGAAAATTTGTCTGCATTTTGTATTTTAATTATTTCTCCAGAGCTTCAAAGTGATTAGTTCTTAATTAATCCATTTTTTATTTCAAGGAAAGTATTTGCCGTTTAATACATTTGTAATATGTGATCTTTTTCTAATGAGCTTGCATCTAAAGAGAGAATAGAAAACATTTTGAAATGATGTATTGTTAAGCATATTAAATGTATATTAATCCTGACAAAAAATTATAATCTTATATTATTTATAATAGGTCATGTTTTGCAACATTATTGAAAATAAACAGCTAATTGTTTTAGTTGTGGAGTTATAATATGCATTCTCTCACAATGAATAAATGTAACATGCATACATTAAAATAAAGTCTTAGAAACTGGTTTCAGCATGTTTGTGTTGGGTGACTTTGTGTTAAGTTAGATTCAAATCATGACTTCAAGTTAAACAATGAATGTGACAATTAAATTATGAATACTTTATTTCAAGAACTATTTTAGAGAAAATATAGTAAAACTGAAAAAATTGAAATGGAATATTTACTGAATATTACATCATTTTATTTGATTGATTGCACTGATGTAAGCAATAGCATTATATTCAGGACCTGAATGAATAAAGTTACCTTCGTTCACTAAAGATAAATCCAGAAAACTTTGACATGTATCAAATTCAGTTAAACAATGTAAAGAACAAGGAATATTCCAGCAGGTAGAGCAATAAGGGGGTCAGGTATTCCTACTTATACATTTTAATACTGTGTGAGATGACTACTCACATCTGTGGTTTCAAATATACTGGATGAATTAGTGTGCATGCTCATGTTTGATTGCATGTATGTTAAAAATTTATTATTCAAAATTTAAAAAAATTAAACTGTTTAGAACTACATCTTCAAAAATATAGTATTAACCTTTTAGCAATTGCATGTTGCTGGAGCAAAGACTTTTGTACATTTTTTCAAGCCCATTCATCCATAAATCAAAATGATCTCTACCATCATCAATATCACAGTCACCATCAATTATATCTCTTGCACATTTCAATCCACCATCAATGGCACTAGAATCAGAAAATCTTATTTATAAATAATAATTATAACAACAAAAACAACAATAATGTTTATTATTTCCATCATTATTATAATTACAACAGTAATAATATGGCCCTGAAATCTATAAGATGTAGATCTAGATATGGTGAATGGAAACATATCTTATATTTTACTTGTCCAATCAGTTTCTACTACAAAAAACCCAAGTTACTTACGTGTACACAACTGTACTTGATCATTCATGCACAAACAAATGTAAATGGATTTGTAAACAACGAGTGAGTTGTATTTGTTGTAGGTATTTTGATCACAATAATAAAATTCATTATGATTTTAATATGAATTCTTTAGTTAAGGTAGTGGGTTACCCACATTTCAAACAATGTTTTCTCTTTTGAGAAAGTTGTCCTTATGTAAAAATAGTCAAAAAAAAAAGAAGAAGAAGAAGAAGAAGAAGAAGAAGAAGAAGAAGAAGAAGAAGAAGAAGAAGAAAAAGAAGAAGAAGAAGAAGAAGAAGTCATTCATAAACCAGCTAAAACATGAGGCCCAAGTTCAACATATCATCAGTCACCAGTTTGCGAACAATGAATGTAGAAAGGCTTAGTGTGACACATATATATTATCTATGGATAAACGTTTATTTTAAATACACTCCATGGACGGGATACTACGGATGAGGTGGGAATTAGCGTGAAAAGAGATACTGCAAAAGGAATTCCGCCGAAGTGGAGAAAAACGACTCGGATTTCCGACAAAATGGAGAAAAGCGAATGCAAGTAAACAATAGGCCTCGGATTTTAATTTCTTCTAGTTCCTAGCACTGCCTAAATATTTTTTCTACCAAATAGCATTGCTTTAAAAGCGTCTCAAATAGCGTAAGGAATGATATGCGAAGACCAGAAGCGAATTCGAGTCGACAAATAAAATGCCATTCGCAACTGAGCATCAACCATTTACGTGCTTCTGATTAATAATTTAAATAACAGCTTACTTGAATATTTCAACTAGAGTTTTGAGGTTCTTTTCAGCCTTTAAAATGATTTTAAGTTAATTGACAGAGACCACTGGCAAAAATTTGGACTATGTTGACAATGCACACATACACTGTGGTAATTACAAAGAAAAATAACATATATGCTTAAAGAATGGTCATTGGCATAATATTCGTGTAAAAACATTACTTTCCTTCATAGTTACAATTAAAAATAAACTTTGCCTCAGTTACTTTCAGTCACTCTCCTGCATAGTTAAAATAAAAAAAAAACTTTGTCTCAATTCTGTGACCTATTTAAGGCCCCTAAATTAAATTTTAGGCATTATCATACCCACAATTCAGAGGTCTTGTTACCAGAATCGATTGTACTGGCTACAGAGATGTTTTAATAAAAAAGAAAGGGAAAATTTACAGCTTCAGAAATAGTATGAAATTCGATGTTGTTACGTCGAAAATTTGAAACTGTGTAAAATGTCAGCAAATTAAAACGATATGCATACAATTTTATACATTGTTTTCTGTTACTAATTGTATTTATTTAAGATTTATATCTAAACGTATGTTGTTGGTTTTTTTCTAGGAGAAAATCCTGCCCGATGATAAAAATTAATGATATGGAGATTTTGGCCTGGAATGGTAAAGATTTTACCTCGAAAATGTTTGAACATCCTACCCTCTTTTATATACTTTGTGAAAACTGGAGATGAAGAAAAATCGGAAGAGTTGGACCCAGTCTACATCACTATGAATCATTTTGTGTAGAGAGGTATAATTTATTCACGATACCTGCATAGGTCAGCTGCATCCTTCTTCTCGCATTCCGTTGATATGTTTGGGTTTAAATGGCAATTCAAATTGTCAGAAACATATTTGAAGCATTCATCGGCCAATTTTGGCAAGCAATTGTTATCGTCACTGTCATCATCTTCTGTTGCATACAAGCTGTTAAATTGTCCAGCTAAAACTGCAAAAAAGAGAAGCGTTTGTGATGCATGCGATTGCTAAAATTAATTTGTATAGTGTACCTCTTATTTATTATTGTATAGATAACAATTTTAATGAATGGAAAACAATATACGAGGAATTGTTTAAAATATTATTGTTGAGAATTAATTTGGGAATTTTTTTGTTATAATTATGTAATGAATTGGAATAATTCACGTCATTGATGAAATCACTATAATACTGAAAACATGATAAGCGAACATAGTCTCTACCTAATTTCCATGAACGTAATAAAACAATACGTATAAATTTGATTTCTACTAACCTGCAACATTTGCGAAAACGAAGAAGCTGAGAAGAAGCCACCTCATGGTTGAAGACCACAGCTTTATGTGTGGTGCTTAAATCTTGCCAGTCCCTCTCTTCGTTTAGATAAAAAAGAGCGGAAACGTAAGGCATCTGAAGGATAAGGATAATTGACAATGGGGATGATTTGTGACTAAACTTCCGTCCGACCACAAAAGGCATTCCTTTTATATTATGACATGATGATTCTACTAAATACATTACACATTTTAAAGAGCTTTCTGAAAACTATGGAAGAAAAATTCGAAATACTTTATAACAGAAGTCGGGTTGATAGTAGTTCTTTCTGTGAAGAAAATGAGCGTAAAGAAAAACAAAATGTTTGCGATAACTATTCATTTTAATTTTTAAGTTTAAATTTATGTAATTTTCAAAGTAAAAGAATTATGTGGTTTGTTGTTAGTTGAGAACATTGTGTCACGAAAAATACACCATAATTGTAATAAAATAATTTCAGCCATTTTACTATCTCGCTACCACTTACGCAGTAGAGAGAAAGATATGTAATGCTGCGCGAAAAAAAAGGCGAATTTTCAACAGAAAAAACTCTTATTACAGGGCACTGGTAACAAAAAAGTCGATAATTCCAGTGGTTAAATTTGAAAATAAATAAATAAATAAATAAATAAATAAATAAATAAATAAATAAATAAATAAATAAATAAATAAATAAATAAATAAATAAATAAATAAATAAATAAATAAATAAATAAATAAATATATAAATAAATAAAATTTAACCCGTGGTGAGCCAGAATCTAAGTTTTGTGGGTCCTTGATACCGAAAAATCGATTAAAGGCAAAACGTCTGTCCGTCCGTGAATCGGTGAACAACGCTAGTGGCAAAATCGTTCAGCCGATTTTCTCCAAAATTGATATTCCTCAATCGTTCTGCTGATGTCCCGGCCCCTTGCATTTTATACCGATATTTACGGGGCATTTAACATCAAGACATTTTCAGAATTTTCAATAAAATGGGTTCATCGTTTATGATTAAATTTTGTTATTGGATAGTCTGAAGGACGTTTAAGAGAATGGTACAGGTCTTATGTTAATTGTAAACCCAGATTTTTCGGAAGTTGCAAAATTCAAAATTTTTAGGCGTCTTCCAACAACTACAATTATGAATATAAACATTTTTTCTTAATGAAATGTGTTCATGAAAACTGATCTAAAATAATGTCATGTTCAGTTTTTCAAAAACATTAGTATTTTTTTGCGAAATGTTGTGTTAAACACAGGCAATATTTTTGCTTTAAACCATTTTTTCTTACGAACGGCACAAACTTTTTTGATTAAATTTAGAACTTTCTACAACTTTCTATGATTTTCTACAACCACAATTCTGAAGATACATTTTCTCTCTCAATGAAATGTTTTCATCAAAAACTGATTATTTGAAAATATGAGTATTTGGTGTGTAATTTGGTGACAAACATTGTCGCCCGCTCCGAATATATTGCACTTCGTGAACGTAATTCCAGGCAATTGGATGCTTCGTAAGTTACAATTTGTATTTTATTTCATATTTCTTTGTTCGTTTCTTACATTCAAGCTTTTGTTATATATTTACAAATTAATCATTTAGAAATTGTTGAAAATCTTTTTGAAATATATTAAATGAAATTGCTACCCTACACTGAATATAAGATTAGAATGCAACACTGACTCTGAAACAATGACTCGGGAGCTAATTTCTATGAAATTATTGTTGTTGAAACATGACTTACCTCTATGAAAATTAATTATAATTGTCAAATTTGTGTTGATAATTGCTTGAAAAAATTTATTTTTTGCACAAAATGTTGTAAGATTTGTAATGAGTTTCATAAAAAATTATGACAGATGTGTTAATTCGGAGAGAAATTCGTAGTTTAAATAGTATTACATAACTATGCTGTGCTGAATTATTCTAAGAGAGCTGAATTATTCCAATAAGTATATTTAAACTTAAGGAATGCAAATACCTGTAATCCTTGAGAATATTGTTTTCCTTAAATCCTTATTTATACGTGGCATTTGCCAATTTCACTTTGATCGAAATTGGAAAAGAGCCATCGTATACTGTATACTTCAATAATCCAATAATATGCAATATAATACTGCAATAATAACATTATTATTATTATTATTATTATTATTATTACTATTATTTTTAATTTTCTAGATCATGATTATGATATTATGAGACAGTTAAATATAAAATCTCCTCCAGGTTGCAACCAGCTACCTAAGGATCTAATGATTGTCGGTGCCTCTACGATACTTTGCGCAAAATGTGGGCTGATAAAAATAAAACAATTTCTTACACTTCCCAGTCTTTTAAATGACGTGAGAGTTTAGCCAAGTTCTTGCACAAAGTTTGTGGAATAAATCCCAGAGCTCTGATGACTATCGGTACGACTTGTGCTTTTACGCCCCGCATTCGCCTGATCTCGATTTCCAAACACTTGTATTTAAGACGTGTCTCTGCCTCCTTGATTACGTCCCCAAATCCCGGAAAACAATATCCGGTTTTTTTGCTGCTATTGTGCGATCCCTTTGAACTTGTTGGTCGTACAATATTATATAGAATCCAACAGATGTCTCCGGTTTTGGTGAGTGTTTGTACCTCTTGGGGAATGTGTTATATCCTCCAAGGCGGTACAGATCTGCCAGTGGAAGTAACTACACCTCCTTTCGTGACTTTTCAAGTATTCGGTCTTTGCTTCAATTGGACAAGCTGAGACGATATGATCAATGGTTTCTACTTGTTCCTGGCAGATACGGCATTTATCATCTTGGGAAATTTTGAGAACCGCTTTATCATAATGCCGTGTTCTCAACGCCTGATACTGAACCTGATAAAATAATAATAATAATAATAATAATAATAATAATAATAATAATAATAATAATAATAATAATAATAAGTAGTAGTAGTACATTATTATTATTATTATTATTATTATTATCATGATCATTATTATTACATCGTTTTCAAAATATCACGCTCGTCCGGAGTTTTCAGATATAACTGAAGGTCAGAACGTTAACACATATGGTGAGACAGATGGTGAGAAGTTCTTGCTCCACTGCAGTCAAATTCCTCTTCAATTACTAAGAGAGAACCTAACGCACAATATCGGTGGTTGCCAGCAACGAATGATTCTGAAGTGCCATTCGTTTAGATGGAGTTTTTCTTTCACGATCCTCCGATCTTCAGCAACAAGCCCATTAATTGAAATAACAACGGGTACAATATCTACCTCTATTAATTTATGTAGTTTTTTCAGTTCAATTGAGAGTGTCTAATATTTTCTTTTCTTTTCTGCAATTGTAGACAGCAGATTATGATATAATGGGACTGCGAGCGATATCTATTATCATTGCCCTGCGAGTAGTTTTGTCGAACGCGACAATATCAGGTTTATTTGCTTTCATTATTTTATCTGTAACAATGGCAGTATACCACAAGATTTGTATTCTCCCATTAGACAGAACTTGCTCCGGTAGAAATTTGTAGTAGGGCAAGCTTTCCTTTATCAGGTCCGATCTTTTGGCAAGAACTTGGTGGATGATTTTTGTCGCATTATTATGACGTTGTAAATAATCTGTTTGAGCCAACTGAGAACATCCACTGCAAATGTGTTGAATAGATTAGGTTGCCTTTTTACACAGGCAACACTTGTCACTAATACTCTCTTTCATGATATATCGCTTGTAGTTATTAGTGGTTACTACATGATCTTGAATGACCAGCACAAATCCTTCTGCCTCGCCAAAACGCCCTGCGGTTCTCAACCATTCAGTCGATCTCTTCATGTCGATGTGCTGTAACAAGTCTGCCATGGAGTTCCTTTGATCCCCACTGCTCAATTCGTTGCTCAGATTTAGGAAAACGTGCATTGTGGTCTTTTTGAAGCAGCTTAAGAGGCGTGTAGCCATGATCTGCTGCACAGATGACCGTCATGGATTCATTGTTGATGAAATAATTTCTGAGCTGTTTTTCTTGCTAGCGTCACAAAACTTCTATACGCATAATTTAGATATTACAAACTTTCTGTATAAGTGTACCTTGAAACGTTTTGGGGATCAGAGTGAAGTAGCATAGTGTGAACATTTCTTGTGATATGTTCGTAGGCTTCCGCGGCAGGAGTCATTGGATACTTGGCTGTCTGGGGTGAACCGCGTCTTAGTCGAATGAGCTGACGTTTCGGCCATCGTGTTGTGGCCTTCTTCAGAGCTATACTGCTCATCAGCCAAGTATTCTCTTCTTGTGATAAGCTGACGATACAACAGTTCGTCATAAATTAATTAGTACAGATCTTGACATTTTTGTTCAATAATTGTTCAATAATTAGAGCATTTAGCAATAGTGTACGTTTCATTCAATTTTCTAATCATGAAGGAAAAAATTGATACTGCAGAATTTTTTCCCTACCTGTGAATCTACTGTACTTTAAAACCTACCTTGTGTTCATAAAATGCACAAAAAATCTCTCTTCTCTTCTTGAATCCCAAATATGTCTATTTTACAGAGTTTTCAATAACTCATTCTATAAGTACAATATTGACATTCTAAGTTATGAAGAAACTAATGGAGCTCAACCGCACATACTTTCTCTTAATATTTTTAACGGGTTATGTAATATGTAGGCCCAAGTGTTTTTTAGGATTTTATCAACGTTATTTTAGGGCTTTTAAAATATTGATTTCGCCCATTTTTTAAAATCATTTTTCTTACTTACATTATTACGTACGTAGTTCAGAGAAAATATTGTAATTGTGCGGTAGAACTCGCTTTTTTGACAGAAAAACTCTTATTATCGGACCCTAGTAGTACCCAAAGACATAAATATATTTCTTGTATGTCGCAAATTACTTCCTTTACACCTTTGTGTACTGAGAATCCACGTTTTGTAGGTTCTTGAAACGAAAAAATCGAATTCAGGCAAAACGTCTGTCTTTATCAATGCTAGCGCCGTTCAGATGATTTTCACCAAAATTGATATTCCTCGATCGATTTAAAGGAATTCAAGACCCCGTGAGTTGAAAATAATATTTTGAGTTTTGAGGGTACTTTACATGAAGCCTCAACATTTTCAAAAGTTTTAAAAATAGCACCGAATATTTTCATAAAACGTGGTCCTTAGTGTAGAAAACGTATCAAGAAATGAAATTCCATGAAATAAATATGCCGTTCAAACACAGATCTTGAAATATGATAAGGCATAAGAAACATTATTTTTGGAAAATGTGAGTTTTCTCATATTTTTTCCTGAAGTGTAGACATAATTATTATCTCAAAAATGTCTCAAAATTTTCTCTTCTTTTTTTCTAGAATGGAGAAAAGGATGGTAAAAAATTGATAATAGTCCCATTTACGGAGAACTCGATGTACCTTCGAAATCTGAAAAAAATAACATTGCAAAAATACAATATTGTTGATAATCGTGTTTTCTTCTATGACATCTGTTCCATAAAAAAGTATTTTAAAGTTAAAGTACAGTGTTTTGAAAACACGAGCAATTTCCCCGTAATTTCCTAAATTAATTTAATTAAATTAATTCGGATTAATTCAATTTCCTTAAAAGAATTTTCAGAAACAGCTCCAAATTTTTTCTTAAATATTTTCCACGGACAAAGCGAAGAACGCTTAGAAAGAGGTGCAGGATCATTAACGTAGAGATATCGTAATTTTCGAAAATTGCGAAAAGTAGGAAAATTAGAGAAAATATGTGGTGTTATAGCACCACTAGCACCACATTTAAATTACAAACTCATTTTATTCAATGTTTTTACTTCGGCTCTTGACTACAGTTCTTAACGCACAAACATTCAAAAATTAAGAGTCTGTTCCTGCAATTACTTTTAATGTACGTAGTTCAAAACATTTTACGTCAATTAATTAATTAAAATCTCTCTTCATGGTGATACAAAATATTTTGGGTTTTACGGGAAATAACTACACTGCTATTTGTGAAAATTGCAACGCCTGAAGGAAAGGTCGGAATGATTTCAAAAATGGCGGATGTGTAGAATAGTGTATCCATAAGAAGTTATTAAATTTGCATAGAAATGGCGTGCATGTTGGTCTAACGGCGCCCTCTTTTGTGTGACAGATCAGGTCAGTGTTACGCCACACCTAGGCGGTGTAGAGCCGTCAAACAACGTGGAAAGGTGCAAGCAGGTGACATTATGCCTCGTCGACGCCAAAGAGCGCACTATTAGCATCTGAGTTCGAACGGGCCAGAATGATAGGATTCCGGGAGGCAGGTTTGTCATACCGTGACATTGTGGTTCGATCGGGGCGCGCTGCTACAACAGTGACGCGTGTATGGAACCAGTGGATAGAGGAGGGTTGTACAGAGCGACGAGAGGGTACAGGACCACATAATGTGACCACAGCGCGAGATAACCGCCATCTTGTCCGCATGGCCGTAACCGGCACAACGGTGTCGTCCGTGTTGGCTCGACTTTGGATCAGTGCAACGGGTGTGTTCATGTCTGCGCCGACGGTTCGACGCCATCTAGTGAGAGCTGGGCTGGTAACACGCATACCACTGCGTCCGATTCCTTTGTCCAGAAACCACCAACGCCTCAGACAGCAATGGGCGTGAACGTGTTCACTGGTGTGCTGAGTGGCAAAATGTGATTTCGGAGGAGCCCCGCTTCAATTTGCGGTACAGCAATGGCCGCGTACGTATTCCACTCTACCATGGTGATTGTAATCTGCCAACCTGGATTGTTCCGCAACAGCGGACAAACCCCAAGTGTGATGATTTTGGGGCGCCATTGGCTATAATGTGCGATCTCGCCTCATACATATTGAAGGCAATCTGAACACCAACCGCTATTCTGTCGAACATGTATGGGATATGATTGGTCGGCAATTTTTTCGTCCTGATCCTCCTGCAGCCACAGTCGATGCTTTATGATCACGCATAGAAACTGCGTGGCAGTGTGTTTCCTAGCAGCATAACCAGGCTCTTGTTCAATCCATGCCACGACGTCTAGAGGCTCTGATGACAGCGCGTGGCGACTTAACACCGTACTAAATTCTCGAGGTCAAAATGCAGATCTGTAATTCTAGTCATTTGTATATTGTAATATTCCTAATCTGTGGAATAAATTTCATTGTAATAGTATGTATCCTTCTTGGTGTTGCAATTTTCGCAAACATCGGTGTACATAATTTTTCGGATTTTCTTTGAAACGAATACAATGCTATCGCAGAATGAGCTGAGTGTAGCCTGCGACATTTTACAAAATCTGTAACTGTTATATTCGACGACACATTTCCCTCCCAAAATTCGCCTCTGGATTCGCTCCTTTATCTCTCTCCCCTCTCTCTCTCTCTCTCTCTCTCTCTACTCTCTCTCTCCTATATATATATATATATATATATAATATATATATATATAATATATATGTATATACATATTATATAGAGAGAGAGAGAAGAGAGAGAGAGAGATATTCACACAGTGCTTGATTTATAAAATTCTAGGTCCCGGAAGGCACCCCAAATTACTTATTAATTTAATAGAAATCATCATATATTAAAATATACTTTAATAATGTCCACTTCCAATAGTTTCTAAACGGTTCAAGATATTAAGATGCAATTTCCATCAAACAATTCAGGACACATAAGCATTAGGACCATCAGTTGAAGATATTAGCTTGTCGATAGCATTTTTTTATTTTAAAGATTTTATTCTAACTTTTTCAGTTGATTGATTATAGCGCTTTTCCAGGCGCGTCAATCGCTATGGTAATTAGTCCCGTAAGCATACTGCATAAGCTTAAAAGAATGGCATAGGTCTAATTTTCGTCGATCTGTCAGAATTGCATGTTGGAAGCAATGGGCGTCACAATTAGATTTTTAAGTGTTCATAAAAGTAATTCACGGAGCCCTTACAAATAGTACAAGAGAGTATGTAATGTTGTAGCACCATTTTTTTTAATGTGCAATTATCAAATTTTCTCCAATATGTACCTGTGAAATTACCTTAAACCATTAGTACACTTTGATTGAAATTCATTGTTGATAACAATCCAAATGGGCCACAAATTTCTAAAATTTCCGAAAGTTTCGAAGGACATGACTTTCAATCTCTGTACGGAGAAACATTTGTTGCTGGTTGAAACAATTTTGTAGGTTCATGTAGTAGTAAGATATTGTCGAAACAAAGAATGCGATAAAATATGTGCTGTTGCAGCAGCACTACCTCTTCATAATACGAGTATAGTAGAGCATAGATAAGCATAGCATATATAAGCATAGAATAGATAGCATAGATAGATTTCATTTATGTTTACCCATTTCTTAAAACGTTTGCGGGGGGGCTCACATTAGGAAAGTCTCTTTAAAAATCCCCAAAATGTAATTTTTACGAAAAAATATTTTATTCTTAAACTACTTAGTCACTAATTTTAAGTACAATATAACATTTGCATAACTAAGGTGTGTATTGCATATATTTTGATTTTATTCTGCATAAAAGTTCATTAAAAAATATTCGAAAACAAAATGGGGCCTGGGTTTGGGTACTTTCCTTTCGTGCTTATTAATTCAGCTTTTGCCTTTTAGTTCTGAAAAATTAGTTGAAATTAAAATTTCGATAAATTTTACAATCATTTTTCTTGTAAACAATTGTATCAATACTCAAACTTCAATTTTGGTTCCTGTTAGTGTTTAGCATTGAGGGTAACCATTAAATTGCTCAAAGGTATTGAATTATTGATCCAAAGGAGGAACGTGAGGACGGGAAAGTTTAGTTTTGGGGATTCTGAAGATTCTAATAAAATTGCACATGCTTTTTGTTATGTATGTTTTTATTTAAAGAACTACAAAAATTAAAATATTTTCCATGGTATATATTTCAACAGCATCATTCCATATAGAAATACTGTACTATATTCTAGCTGATTTGCTGACTTTATTGTACACGTCAGGAAAAGCCTCCGTTGCATTATACTTTTTCCTAAAGATGTCGTACAAAGAATGATCAAACATTTGTCGAAATTCATCTTTCGTCCGGAAAGAGTCGGCGTACAGCATCTGAAATCTAAAAATTTCATTTTTATAAATAACATCAAATCATCTCGTATAAACAATTATAATATTGTTTATTACATTACTAGCCACTATCCATGAAAAATATTTGTCATATATTTTGTTTAAATTAGTGGCAGTATTTTCTAAAACCACTTCAGCACACACCACAGCATTCTAACAATGTATTGTTCTTTACATTGAAAGACGAAAAACATATTTTTTGTTACTTTGCATACACCATTTGCGTCGCCTCAACAACTTTTGCCACTGCGAGGCAATAGCAAAAGCTATTTAGGGGGCTTTTGCCCTTAATACGACCACCAGGAGGTCATAGGGTTCGATTGCCAGGATTTTCGACACTTCCTACACATCTCTGATTCAGCCGTTTTCTGGAGAAAAATCACTAGCAGCTGGCTACACTGACCGATTTTTTCCCATAATTTCTCCGATTAATACCAGGCAAATGCGAAGGCGGTCCTAACAAATGGGCCACGAACGATTCTTGAATTTTGAACTGAAGCCTTATTTTACGTGGAGAGACTCGGGCCATCAGGCCCGCTCTTCCGTCTGACTACGCAAATTTCGTTACGCTCCTTTCACCCACTAGCGGAGAAAGGAGGTTTCACATCACTCGGGTGGCGAAACAGGCGATTTGAATTAAGCCCAGAGGCTTCATTTAGGCTTGAGGATCTACATGCAGTAAATCTACTAATATGAGACAGCCAGCTTTACGTCCCCTCCAAAGGAAGGCGTACAAAGGATTTTTTCGCCCTTAAAAATCCACGGTTTCGATCGGGTTTGATCCCGCGAACTTGGGTCCGACACGCTAACCTTTCGGATACCATCGCCGCCGCTAAATGTTCTCTTACACACATTTATTTCACCGTGTATATTGTATTTGTATCAAAAATACTTTGAGATAGTATTTTGCATTTTCAAAATATAAAAATACTTATTATTGATCCGTCGTTTAAAATCTGAATTTCAATACGCAGTCAAATCTAGATAACATAAAAAGTTCGGTAACAGGAATTTTTGATACTTCGAAGCACGTAAGGAAATTCATTTGTGAAGGGATTTCAAAATATTGATTAACAGATATCGGAGACCACCACACGGACGTTACATTATATTGTCAGATTATGCACCACTAACTGTCTGGAAGGCCTAACTGTCTGGAAGGCTGTTGGGCGCACTGGTTGTGCTTGCGCCTTTTAAATAGCCAACCTTACGATATTGTAGATATTGTAAGTGTGGAAACTGATAAACTATCAAAATGTAGATGGTACATACTTCACTGTCATTGAAGAGTTAGGTACAAAAGGAAAAGTGTCACGTGAAATTTGTAAGCCTGCCAGTCAGTAATAAGTGGTTCCTACAATGCGACCGAAAATTTTAAGACACACTTGAGGCCTACCCTGAGACTTTCACTGGTCATTCTTTTTACTACGAAACTGACCCCACCCGCTGCCGACCCCTCCCGCTGCCGACCGGCTGTGCTCTTAAACAAGACACACGCTCAAAAATTCGCAGAACTGTTTTCGGCCCAGAAGCTGCAAGGTATGTACGATCCAGTTTGCTTACGCATCTTGCATACATTAACTACCACCTGTTAATAATATTTGTATTTCTCTTTTTAGCTCTGAGGATGATCACTACGCGATCGAAATGATCATAAGCTGAATTAAAATATTGATACCTGACAATATCTTTATTTATTTATCATCTTAATTTCTTATAAGAAAACCAATAATACAATTCTGAAATGTGTTATTTATTATTTCTTCTGAAATAAAATATTCAGTGTTTCTTTTTTGCAAACATTTGTATCATCTGCAAACAGAACTGTCCTTCTGTTTCTAATGGATGAGGATTTTGAACCCTGGGAGACCTCATGCTCAATAGGTCAAGAATTGATGACATGAGTGAAGAGGAGTAAATAATTTATGATGATTGTGAACTTACCCATGGACACTAGCAATAAAATCTTCCATGTGTCTTGTAGTTTTCACAGCATCAAAGTTTCCAGTTTTTGGTACTCCATATACACCAAGATCAACATACATTTCTTCATTGTTGGCAGCTGGATGAACCATTCCAGGATCATTTGGTAAATTAAATGGACATAGCCATAGAGGATAAATCTGTGAAATAATTATTAAAGATAATAATGTTGATGTTCTATTCATTATATTTGAAAAATATTTTTTTTTAATGATTCCAAGAATCATTTACCTCCACAGCTTTGTGAGATACTGTAATTGCTTCTTTGAGAGCTGATACAGGAATTAAAAAGTCTTGAATCATGTGATGGTTTTCATAAAGGTCAGTAATAGCTTTTGTTTCTGTTAATTTTAGTAACGAAACCTTGGGAGGCATCATCCAGCCAAATAAATACCGGAAAATGATATTGTTACCAAATGGTATGATGTCCTGGAAAAATAACTTTTGATATTAAATACTAGAAATACAACTTGTATAGTATGCTGTTGATTTTTCATCAGATAATAGAATTTTTATATTTGTAGGCCTACATATTTAGATTTTTACATTATTCAATTATTTTTATATCAAGAAATTGTGGATTCATGCATGGAGTTTAAAAGGACACAAATAACTGATTGAAGAAATGATTTGCATAACATTTTACCATTATGTTTAATTGATACTTTACCCTAGGGACATTGTGTTGTCTCTGTACTTTTTAAAAATTACTACCTGATTGTGATAAAACATTACCTGAACTTCCCAAAATAATGCACGTGTATGCCTATGATAATAATCTCTCAAAGGAATGACTTCATCTCCTGGTCCTTTCTTCAAGAATTTCTTCACATGGAGGAAAAACCAAGGTTTATACCATTTTCCAATTTCATTTATCTGAAATCATCATTGTTTCATGAAGTGATGACTAGCATTATCACATTTATCATGCAACTTTAGTTTATTAAAATTAATTATATTGTGTTTTCTTCCATTCACTCTGGACAAATGTACTCTTTGAGAATATTTAATTGTGCCACTCTTGACTTTCAATAATTGATTTCAATTGTATTTGTGTCAGTGATGCCATTTGTGTCAGCGTACCTTCAATTGGTGTCACCCAGTGCAAAACTAATGGTATCACATCACCCATAAATTAAACATAAATCTATTACTGAATAGGTTATACATTATTTCATAAAAATGCAAGTATATTTGCACATGGCATTTATTTATAATGTATTAAAAAGTGTATGTAATTCAGAATATATGAAATGATTTTTAAAGAATTAATTATGTAATTCAAACTATTAAATTTTCTAATTGGTGTCACCTGGGGTGGGCTGCCCCCCCCCCCCCCCAATTATGCCACTTGATTTGGTGTGAAAAGCAATTGTTGGAATGAGATGATCTTTCATATGATGCGGAAACGTTTTTTAATGTTTTTTTTTTTTTTTTTTAATTTCATTTTATTTTATTTATTGTAAACAACAAAACAAAAAATGAATACCAGGGGGGGTATAATTGTTTTCTGGAGCTCTAGAATCCCTACTCTACCCTCTCACTATACACAGTTGAATGATAAATAAGTACTGGTAAGAAATATAGTTCTTATTACCGTCTCTCCTTTAGAAAAGGAAACCATGTCCCCTGTCATAATAACACCTTCATTCTTGCTAAACATCAGACCTTCTACAAACTGATGTTCTTTGCTTTTACTTTCCTTTGCAAATAAACCAACAGCATCATCCAAAGTATATACTGGCTGGTAGTGAAGCTTCACATACCTTGAAGATTAATTGCAAATTAATTTATGATGATTCCTTATTCATTGTATCTTACTGTATCTTTTAAGATTTTAAATAATGAAATAAATATATACATTCACTGATGTAAGTTATTCCACAAATAAATACCTTTTGGCAGGAATAATTTTTATTTCAGCAGCTGTAAGCAGTCCTAGTGTTCCATATGACCAGGGAACAGCATAGAATAAGTCAGGATTATTCTCCTGAAAATTAATATTTTTAATTCAACCACTTTAATGAGAAAATACTATAGCAAACTTACTTATTGTGTGGTAGGTACTTACTTTTGAGCAGGTTACTACACTTCCATCACCCATTACTAGTTCATATGAAACACAAATATGTTGAAATAATCCATAAATATGTGATGTAGATTCCACACCAGTACCCATTACTAAACCTCCTGAAGCAAAAAAAAGCATATTCAATTAGATACTAGCTATGAAGAAGAAATAAGTTATTATGTCTTAGGAATCACAACCAGACCTAATTCAAAAGGTTGAACTCACCGACTGTTAGATCATCAAGTTCAGGGACAACTGGAATAGTCCATCCCAATGGATTCAAAGTGGCTGTTAATTGACCCATTGTCACAAGGGGCTCACAACGAACTGTCTAAAATTTGAAAGTCAGTATTAGAACATTCACTTTTTATAAATTCATAGTAAATGAAATACAAATTCTGTGGGTTCCTCAGATCTTCCTCATACACATATGCTTTCTTCAAATTATCTACATAAAGAAATTTATTTTGTTGATGATTATCTTTCAAGAGGATGGCAGAAATTTACATTGTGTTACACTTCTTTTTGAATTTGATATGTGAATGAATATAAGTACCAGTACATCATGAAGTACTGTGTGTAACTCTTAAAAATGGAGTGTCTAAATTTAAAATTTGGGGGTAGAAATGTTGATTTGTGTTGGGACTGTTAGAGCCAATGATCAGCTTTTAGGTGTTTAAAGTTGGTATTTCTGCTTAGACCCTTTTGAATGAACAGTATGTAACAGAGTCTGCCTAATGATGTCAAGCATGCTATAACATTCCAGTCCTTGAAATAAATACATATTGTAACCACATGGTTAGGTAAACCACATGATATCTGCATTTATTAATTTATTACCCACATCAGTTCTATGCCTACAATTTTTAACAAATTGTGTTTAAATTTTCTCTTAACAAGCAATATTTTGTTTCCTTCAATAACAGGAGAACAGCGATTTGGGCATTCAGTAATTTTTTATAGTGCAATAGTATTAAAACAGGATCTTGACTACTAAAAGTGGCATGATGGAAATTCATGAATTAAATTGCAAATGAAATCTAAAACTATATACACACCATAAAACTCATTTACATATGAATTTTTCGGCCTGCAGAAACAAAATCTCATGATTTTGATATAATATTATGGAGGAAAATATTAAATTCTTTAGAGAACCATCTATGAAGTTTCAATATTTTACTATATATAT